TAGTTCCCAAATACATCATAAAACCACTTTAGGGCATGTGGTGCCCATCAACCCCCTAAGTAGATTCCGTATTCAATACGCTTTAAGTGCAATTTGGCACCATGGCCCTAAGTATACCAAGTTTGCTTTTCTATTCTTACCATACTGCGACTGACAAAGCTCCAACCCTTTACTCAACTAGAAGTGGAGCCTGTCCAGGCTGCAAGAACATTAGAACATTGGAACAGGGTGCTAGGTGCTAGGTGCTACGTTCGACTTTGGTGACTGAAGGGATGGGTTACGACATACCATCGTGAATCGGTTACGACATGGGCTGCAAACTTCTTGGACACCATCGTGGGCTGCGGAGCCCCGCATGTTTCGATCCACCGGGCACCATGGCACCGGAACTTCCAAACAGCAAAAGGGCTGATGGTCTAGTAGCTTCTCAGTAGTAATGCCAGGAGCTACTAGTAGCGTCCTTGCTCCTAGAAATGCCCTTTGCTACTAGTAGCGTCCTTGCTCCTCGTTCCCAAAGCAGCTTGGGTGAAAGGACTTGGCAAAAATAACTGAGCGTGGCGAATGGTCGCAACATCCGAACGACGCGTGAGATATTGATGAAAAGGATAGGGCGACTGGTTGGACGAATAGCAAACTGTGAGACTCGTGATACGCGTCCACTGGGTCCAAATTGGTACAGAAAGGCATAAGCTGTCAGTGCTTAGGCTTGGCTGTGCATTTTTATTGATAGGCTAGGAATGCAGCAACGCCCTACTGAAACCCAAAGATTGGTGGGTGGGACTGCACTTTGTTCCGTCGCAATGTCCATGACATGCACGACAAGATACACGGCTCAAGAATCGATACGTGCTGCACCACACTGTTGCAGACATTGATACGCATTGATATATTATGATTCGATAGTACCCTCCAACAGTTCTTAAAGGGCAAACTTGCCAAGGACACCATGAGGTATTAATTTTTGAATCAGAGCCGTAGAAACTTGTTGAAATGAGTTGTTGGTAGCGAGGTTTCCAGCCCAAATACAATGTAACGGTCCCGTAACGGTCCCGCAGTTTTTAAATGGTTTTGGCCAGTGTCTTCAAAAGCTTCATGCGGGTTTTCTCAGTGTTTTTGTGCTTTCCTTGTTGATGCATGTCACAAAAAGTTGTGGTATTCTACCAATTCGGGACTGGATTTACATTGTTTCGAAGGCTCGGTCTCTATGTGTGGGTAGCCGTTCTTTGAACAACTCTCCCGTGTCCTTCCAGAGCGAACCTTTATGGTTGCGAGGCCACTGGAAAGCATATAGATAAAGCTCAAGCTGCTCAAAAATGTCAACCAACCTTTTCGACTCCCATGCACAAGATGGAAAAGAAAAGTGTATCATGTGTATGCGCGCTAGGTGTGATATCATGTGCGAAAGCATGTGTGAAAAAGTATGGCAACTGTGTGTGTGTGCGCACTGGTATGCACTCGTCTGCGACAGCATGTGTGCATGTGGTAGAATCACCGAAGCGCATCCAAGCGAACGTCATTAACCCCCCGACACCCCCACCCCCCACAACACCCCTGTGCGGCGCGTGTCCTCTCGTCTCTCGTTAGTTTGCGAAAGCATGTCACACATGTATACATTACATTGAAAGCGCACACAAATGCAAACACATGATAAAAGGAAAAAACAACGGGATCGTTACAGGTCCGGCTAGCAAAAACAAACCGCCAGCTTTTGAGGTACTTCACCAACGTGAAGCCGCCTGGCTGATTGGACATTGAGGTGGATTATCAAACAACTGAATCTGACGGACATGGCGCATTTGAGATTGCACCAGGTCATACTTTTTTTTTGTTCAGGTTTCCTTATTTAGGGTCATACCAGCATTACATTTGGCAGGTCTCTCGTGCTGACTTGGCTGGTGAAAGTGCAGATTTGGCAGTTTTTGGCTCTGGATCAATCGGATTGACCATTTAGACCATGGAGGGAGTGCGTGTGTTTATTCTTTCTGCGTGAAACAGAATACGCCAAGGCAATCAGGATCATGTTGGGTTTTCTGAGTCCTTCTCAACAATTTCGCCTGACTTAGGGACGTGAAGGTGCCCCACACTGTGACTGTGCCTATCCCTCCTCCTCCACGCAAAGTGATCACGCAGCTCGGCAAAGCTCGGATGCTCTTGAGAGGAAAGGGGTGGAGCATGTTGCAGGCACTGGCATCTCTCAAGTAGCAAGATTTGATCAAACACTTGGGTAGGGTGCATGCGAGCGTGCGTCGTTCTACTCCTGTATAATATCTAAGGGCTGACTTATGACCTTTTATGCCCTGCAACGAGTTTTGCCGTTCCACTATGCTGCTTTGTCGTGGTTTGTTCCGTGCTCATGCATTGACATTGAAACTGTAGCCGAAAAAGAGCATCCGAGCCATCGCTCAGGCACACGGTTCACGTGCACACTCATGCCTTCGATTGCGATGGAGGTCCGAACGTGGGAATGCAGCTGTCACAAGTTGTCATTGTCAAGGCACATTTAATTTGATCAATCGATATTCTTGCGATAGAACTTTTTTCCTTCTCTTTTTGGCTTCTGGGGTGTAAAGCCTTGTCGGGATGCAGGAGAACCATTGGAGTTTTGCAAAATCCAGGAAGCTTATATATATATATATATATATTTGATTCCCGTACTCGTACAACTGTGAAGATTCTGACGATTGTCAGCAGCTATGTGCAGAAGCTTGACAACAGAATGTCAAGATTTGGGATGTTGCCTCGCAGACATGCTTGCAAGCGACTTTGTGCAGTTGTGGTATGTTGTGGTTTTGCCAGGGACAAACACAAGAAAACCAATCCATTTAGCTTTGTGCTCAAAACAACTGCAACATATATTACATGTAATATATAAAGATGAAGAGCAGATCTACCCTTTCCACCTCTCCCACTCCCACTTGTCACGCTGAGCTTTTGCCCAGATGCGAGTGGCGACATGAGCATGTGGAGCTCGGAGAAGAAGCGCTACTGCTGCTACTTGCGCGGGATCACTTGCCACACCAAGGCAACATGTCTTAGAGGAGATGTGAAAATCCTTGTTCAAATGCCGTTGTGTCAAGCTTGATTCAAGCCTAGGAAAATATATTATGAACAACAGCTAACCTATTTAAACAAGTATGAATATGTATCTTAACATGTCAAGTTCCTGGAGTTTGCAGGTGACCTATCGGCTGCTCGGAGAGCACTTGATGGGATTCATGTGAGTAGCTGTTTTATGTTGTAATTGAATGATAAGTGTTCAATCAGATTGTAACTCCCCAGATGTGTGCAAAGGCATTTTGTGTGGTGAAGGCTAGCGAAGTCTTTGGCGTAGGCTCTTGGATATCACACAGGCGAAGCCAATTCGCGAAGGCCAACTTATAGGATTATGTAGGTTGAAACCACTCTGCAAAATCACTTCGCAAAGCCCTTGGTCTTGTGCGAAGCCTCGCGAATCCACCCTTTCCATAAATTCTGGTGCCGGGAACCCCCAGAGTAGGCACCCCAGCAGTGTACAAGCACAATGCACGACGACAAACTTTCTTTTGGGGATAGGCCTTAAATTCCGTGCAGTTTTTGGTAATTTTGTAAGTCCACTTGTCCAAAGAAGCTGCTTGATGAGACGCCATGTGTATACGAGTATAACCATGTTTGCGTTCGGGGTGCGCATGGCTGGAAAGGCTGGGGGATGCTGTGGCTCTATGTCTATTGTCTCAGTAACGTTTTGGATCACTGTGCTCCGACTGTCCTGAGGCCTCACTACCACACCATCACTCACATCAAGCATGTCACAGTCCCAGTCCATGTGCCCATCCCGGCACCACCGCCCCAAGTGATCAACCACGTGGTGAACGACCCGATTCACGACTCTTGGCGGAGAGGTTCAGGCCGGCGACTTGTGTCGTTGGATTTTGGGACATTTGCGGAAGTTACAGGTAAGGTGGTACAATGAACTCAATCAACAAGTATAACCAGAAAGACTGCAGAAACAGTCATGTTAGAGTGAAAAGTGGGTGGGGGGGTGGAAGCAACTACAAGTGGGGCTGATTGTTCCACACATACAATGACATACAAACCAAAATGGATCGGAAAATAAAAGAAATGACATGTTGGGCACGTGCTTTGTGTGCGCAGCTGGCATCCCTCATGCTGAGGACCCTCCACAGGTCATCAAAGTGCCTGTTCCTGGACAGCCTACCTACGCCGCTTGGCTTCGGCTGTTTGTATGTTTGTTTGTTGAGATGCACCGCAGTCTTCACGCAGCCAGCGATTTATATAGTTTAGTTTGTTAAAGAAATATTTGGCGGCAGGTTTTGGGCTGCTCCACCACTGCCAATTGTATGAAAGTTTGCATCTGTTTTCACAGCTGGAGTGGCTGAAGTTGCCAACGCCAGTTTGTTGCAGCGTTCGCTTTGTCGATGTTTTTCGCTGTTTATGATTTTGCGTTGAGGTCCCTAAGTATGTTCACCAGAAGCATTACGTGCCCGTGCGAGAGCCAAGCCCACCTCAATACCACAACGTGCCTGTGCCGGTTCCTATCAAGGACCCCGGACAGGCGCACTATGCGGTTGCGGTTGTTTTTCATATGCAGCAGTTGCAGTAACTCTACGAGGATGCCATTTATCATTTTTTGTGTACAAAATTTCTGCATGTTTGTTGTTGCAAACCCGATTATTTTGATCACTTCCCGCAGAGTTCCAGCAGGTGATCAAGGTGCCAGTGCCTTTGCCACCCCAAACCGTTGTGAAGAACAAAGCGCGGAACGCACCAATTGAGTCGGTGCAGGATTAGGTCGAACTCTGAATGGATGGCGGCGATGTCACATTGGCTTTTGTTGCCATCGCAAATCCCTCAACAAAAACACACAATCACGCCAGCTTGCTTCAAACTGCGGAACATTTTGACAAAAAACAGAACGTGCCGGGAAATCCGAAATCAATCAACAACACATTTGGTTGATGCTGTCAACTTGCTGTGTCATCACCGCCAGAACCTGCATTCGCAGGTGATCTACAAGACTCGCCATGTGAAGGTGCAGCACATCTACGACTGCAAAGCCGGCTTCAACAACTGGAGACCTGGCTAATCAACTGGAGGAGGGAGGAAACAAAGACAGGAGAGAAGGAGGTTTAGAATACAGATTGAAATTGAAGAGAACTACTGTAACTATGATGCCATTGATGTACTTCTTGCTGAAAACTGGTACATGACTGGAGGTACGGTAGTTATCAGCACAGTTATGATCGTTCCCCACCCAAAAAAAGTGTCAAATCCAAATATACGTTTATTTTTCGGGTCAATCATCTTGAGAACCACTCACTCACATCCTGTTTGTTCAACATCAATGTGTTTTTCAATCCATGGAGTAGATTGATAACTGGCGGCTCAAGCAATGTGGGCTCATGTGGGCTCTACCCCGTGGTTGATGTGGTTGGAGTCGTACTTAGTTGCCCTCCAAGCATTCCGTTTGTCATTTTGCGAGTGCAAGCATTCCATTTTGTGTTTTGCCTCGCAAATGTGTTTTGTTTGTTGGCCGGTTTGCCGTCGCAGAAGTCTCATGAAGCATGTGATTTGCATGTTGTATTTTTTCTATTGATTCTTGACTCAATCCTACAACTAAGTTCGCTTGATGGACAACCCCAAACGCAAGAACATGGAAATCGCCCAGAGTTGCTGCAGCAACAAAGTATGTGCGAGTAGAACACAGTTGCCTGCTCACTCCCTGGAGTGCTTGCACTGCTCCAGCTTGTATGAGACCAGGAATTCCGGTTGGTCTTCAGCCAAGAAAAGCTGGTGCTGCTCCCATGAGAGTCGAGGATGCCCAGGCGGGCTGAGCAGAAGCAGGGCTGAGACACCCCATAGTTCCTCGACATCTCAGCCGGGCTGAGATGTCGAGGAACTAGCCTGGATTTGGGGTTGAACATGAGTCAAAATGAAGTCCTACTTGGCAGAAATCAAATGGAGGTAGGCCAATGGTTCAATAGCTATCTTTTCCAAGCTCCTGTTCAATGCCTGCTCCGGATGCCAGGCGACCATTCGGGAAGCCTTACGAAGACCTATGTCACACACGTGACGGAGGGCCGTCCTCACACCGTATACCACACCCACCATTACGTGACCCACCATGTGTCCCATGAGTATGTGCCCACACACGTTGTCCACCACTGGGGTGGTTCGGGCCATTTCGGTGGTGACAGCTATGGATCTGGATCTGGAGCGACCACTGTTGTCCATCACTACTCTGGCTCCGGCTCCTCTGGCTCCTGGGGTGGTTCCAGTGGCGGAAGCTCCCATTCCTTTGGCGGCTCCGGGTCTTTCAGCGGATCCCACTCCATCGGAGGCTCGGGGTCTTTCTCCCACAGCTTTTCGATGAGCTCCAGCTCCGACGGGGGGCACGTGACATGGCAGAAGCAGTTGTAAGCAGTAGCAGCAGCACTACAACCAATAGATTCAATGTATATATATATTATATAATATATATATTATATATATTATATATTTATAGTTGTGTCCGCCACGAACATTAACATGTAGTCTCCTTTATATCGGCCATAATCAGGACAGCACTTTGAACTTGTAACTTGTGTTGCTGTTTGTATGTAGCAATACATTCTTTGCCTGCGTTTAGACTTTGGCTGCCTCGCTCCGGAGTAAGGCACGTCGATTGCAAGAGATTGAGAATGGAGAGGTCGATGGTGGAGACAGCACCATTGAGGGTGGAGACAGCACCATTGAGGGTGGAGACAGTAGCATTGGAGGTGAGGCCATTGAGGGTGGAGACAGCACCATTGAGGGTGGAGACAGCACCGTTGAAGGTGAGGCCATCGAGGGTGGAGACAGCACCATTGAGGGTGGAGAGGGTACCATTGGAGGTGAGGCCATTGAG